GCTACAGCTTTGGACTTTGAATTATCTGTGTTTTAATTAAGACATGAGAAAGAGCAAATAGGAATTTTTTGAGATCTTTATTTTATAGCATGTTCTTCATGAATCACTGGTATAGTTAATACTTGTTATTGTTTGTGTGTTAAATCAGAACTGACCTACATATAGACCTCAAGCAGATTTTCAGAAGCAGTAAATTGCACAGGAGGAGAATTGTCCATCTCTCTCCCACAAGAGCAGCTTGTGGATTCGAACTGCGTGCCTTTGAGATTACAGCATAGTTTCTTAACACTGGGCAACCAGAGCTCCCTAAGGATCTGTAATCAAGCTAATACCTTGTCATATGATTGATGTTGATATGAATGAGTAATGATGTAAAACTACATAAGATTTGTAGTCTTTTATTTTCCCCTATTCATTGCTTTCAAATTACTATAGATGTTACAGGTGAAACAATTCTTTTTTTTTTTTAAATTCATTGTTGCACATTTTCTTTCCCTCCCACCTTCTGCCCCAACTCACCCTGCAGTGCACCCCTTGTTCTAGATTTTTGTCATATGTATACTGCCTAATCATACATTCATTTTGGACAGTTCTTCCTCTCATCTGTTCTACTGCACTCTTTTCCCCTTCTGTCCCCAATCTGCACCCTCTACGTTTACCCTATTTTATAACAACAGTGTTATGCAGTATTTGTCCTTTTGTGACTGAGATACTTTACTTAGCATTCTATCCTCCAGGCTCCCGCATGTTGTGTAATGTTTTATGAGTTCACTGTTTTTCAATGCCCTATAATATTCCACTGTGTAAATATACTATAGTTTTTCTCTCGATTTGTTTATTGACGGGCGCTTGGGTTCCTTCCATCTCTTTGCTATTTTTAATAACGCAGCAATAAACATGTGTGTGTATTTCTATTTGAATTATGGCTTTGGTTTCTTTAGGATTTATTCCCAGTAGTGCAATTGCTGTATCAAATGGTATTTCTATTTCCAACTTTTTGAGAAAGCACCAGGCTGCCTTCCATAGTGTCTGTACCATTTACATTTCTAACAGCAGTGAATAGGAACTCCTGTCTTTCCACAACCTCACCAACATTTGTTGTTTGTAGCCCTATTGAACTTTGCTATTGTTGCTGGAGTGAAATATCTCATAGTTGGTTTTTATTTGCATCTTTTTGGTAGCTAGTGATTTTGAACATTTCATGTGTTTGTTTGCCATATGAATATCTTTGGTGAAGTGTCTATTCTTATCCTGTCCCTATTTTGTTATTGGGTTGTCTAGCCTTTTCTTATTGAGGTTCTGGAGTATTATAAAAATTTTAGATACAACTTCCTTATCAGATACATCGTTGCCAAATATTTTTTCCCAGTCTGTGGGTTTCCTTCTACCCTGTTGGAGAATTTTTTGATGTGCATAGGGATTTGATTCTTAGAAGGTGCCTTTCACCTATTTTATTCTCTCCTGAATGTAGGTAAAGCAATTCTTATCAACAAGGAATAGTCTCATTTCTTTCTATCCTTGCTAATCATCATGTAAATTGGAAATTTTCATAATTTCCTACTCTAGAGCCTTGGGATTTAGTAAAGTAGAAAGAAGTATAGTTAGCTAAATATGCATATTTTTGCTTTTTCCTGGCTGTTTGCCTGTGAATACTGAAATTTTTCCTAGAAAATACTTTCCGCAGACAGATGGATTGTACCTATTTAGAAAAATGCCCTCTTGCCGAGAAGATAGTTTTTCTTAGTTTGCACTTTTTTCTGTTTTCTTTTTTAGTTTCCGGGCACAGTGGCTTCTGTCTAGACGGCCTGGCCGCCTCCTGTAGAATCTGAGCAGTGAGCCTTCAGCACCGACTGAGGGTCAGAGCACGCCTTTTATATCGTTTTACCAGAGACATAGCTGTTGGCACTATTTTTCTAAGATTCTTTTTTTCTTTTTACTAGAGGCTGAATAGCTTTATATATTTGCTTCTACATTAAAGTTTACAAGCATCAATATTTCCTACACATTTTTCTTATTGTATTTTTCCCCTCTAGTCTTAAATTTCAATGATATCTGTTAACTTTTTTAAGTCCTTTAAAAATTAATCTACAAATACTGTTTCCAGTAGAATTTCTTATTATTTTATCTTCTTTAATATTCAGAATATATTTTAACAATTTCTACATGTACAAATTGGTGGCATTGATTACAGTTTTCAGATTGAGCAGTTCTCCTTTTCCAAACTGTTGCTGTCCTAGCAACATAACTCACCACCTTCTGAGTTTCCTGTCTATCTAATTGACTTTGTCAGTTTGATTCCATATAGATAATAGTTCTTAAAAGATTGTATGTTCACAGCAGCCCTTTTCTACTTGTTTAGTTAAACTGTAACTGATGACTTCAGAGATGCTTTCCCTTTAAGGTCTAAAAATTCTGTACCCCAAGGAAGACAGAGCTGAGACACAAATTGAGATTTGTATATCTTTGTTCATAGCAGGTTTATTCACAATAGCAAAAAAAAAAAAAATGGAAACAGCCCAAATGTCCATCAACAAACAAATGGATTGAGAGATTGTGGTACATTCACACAATTGAATACTATGAAGCACAAAGGAGTAACGATTTTGGGAGAGTCTAGGGAGCACTATGATGAGTGAACTGACTCAGACTCATAAGACAAATTATGTATATTATTGTAAAAAGAGAAGGAGAACCAGTGAAATGTGTATAAATGTCCTAAAGGAGAGAGGAAGGGGGTCAAAGAGGAAGAGGGTGGGAAAGGGGGGAAATAGCTAAGATGATAAAGTTTGGTGTGCAGAACAGGGGAGTGTGAAGGAATTAGACAAGATCCAATGTGGACCTGAAAAGAAAGAGTAATAGGCATAGAATGATGATTAATGTTGTTGTTACGTACCGTCAAGTCCCTTGCAACTCATAGCAACCCTATGTACAACAGCTCTGAACTCTGCTTTATTCTGACCCTATCATAATCTCTGACACAACTACCCCATTACCCCAATCACTGAGTCAATCCACCTCTATAAAATCTCTGTAGATGTTCATTGAAATGAAAAATAAACAACCTAAATTTAAAAAAAACAAAAAAAAGAAAAAAAAAACACAATATATAGGAGAAATTGTTGGAAACACAGTGTGAATCACATGAGTGATACACAGTGTCAAATGTTGTATGCAAATCAATATAACGTTTAAAAAATTCTCTGAGGACAATAGAATTTTAAAAAATGAAATTCTCTTTTAATCAGTTTTCTAAAAGAATCTACCAATAGTAAAATTGTGTCATTTCTTACTCATATATGCTATATGTAAGTAGCAAATACAAAACTTCACTCAAGACATCAATCAGTTCTGGTTCCTGAATTTTTGCATAATTGCTGGGGGCATCTGACAGCATTTGTCCCAAGATAGCGTTCTTTGGGATTTGGGGAGGAACCTGATACTTGTAGATGATTGGGGTGAGTGAGATGCATCTGGCTGTTCTCCTGTTTCCATTCTCATGTAGCATGTCTTTAAAACCCTGTGTAAAGAAAAACCCTGTGTAGTTTTACAATTGAGTGTGGTTTCAGTGTGAAGAAAGCAGCTGACCCCTTAAGGACCCATGAACCCACAATGTTGAGCCCTAGTGGTGCTAGACCATAGCAATATCTTTTGTTATATGACTTTCTTTATAAGCGATGTATATTACATGTAATTAGAGGGAGCTCTGGTGGCCCAATCCCTAGGGAGTTGTGCTGCTAACCCAAAGGCCATATCTCTCTGACAGTTCGAATCTACAAGTTGCTCCTTGGACCAAAGATAGGGAATCTCGTGCAGTTTACAGCCTCACAAAACCTATGTAATGTCAACTATAAGTGGATTTGACTCAGTGATGATCATGAGAATGAAGTAGATAATTACATCTAATAAGACATGTGGAACCAGAAGAAGAAAGCTGGAGACCACAGCATCAGGACCTCATGGGCTTCAGGCCTTGAGTATCTCCTCACCTTCAAAAGCAGCCACAAGTTCTGATATAAAATAGCATCCATCATAAGGGCATCTCAGACAACCTCCATCCCTGCTAATACATCCCAGAAAAGGGTAGAAACTCACACTGTGGTTAACAGAACTTATTTTAAAGGTAAGTAGGCAGGAAGTTTCTGAGTCTGCATTATCCCTGATTTTCAAATAAAATCCCCCTAAGCAGAAATGGAGCAGCATCCTTCTATTGTAAATATCCTGACTTCAGTGATGGCTGTTCTTGTCATCCATGCAAGAGAAGTAGGGGCTGGGAGATACTAAAAACCTACAAAGGAACAGCAAATTAAAAAATCCTGAGGAAGCAGAAAGTCCAGTACCGAGATGAAGAATAACAAAATTAATCTTGTGCATCTTTCAATTATAAGCCCCCTGAAATCACCAAATTTTGAGAATCCGTTTCCTCCATGAACTTACCATACACTGTGTACTGTGCTAAACCAGAACATAGATAGGAACTCAGAAGAGGATTTAGGTAAAAGATCTCATCTGTTTGTGTATCACTCTATACCTGAGATGTAATAGGAGCCTGATACATGGGTATTCAGTAAACAGTTGACTTTTTAAAATTATTGATTTGGTCATAGTATGTCTCCCATCTTGGGCAAATACCAGGATTTGTAATGAGGGAGGCATAAAGGTTCCAAACACATAGAGCCGAACTCTAAAATCTGGAAGCCTTATGAAATGTCAGTTGGTTAAAAATAGAGCCTTCTGTGCTGTACTGTAGATTTTAAAAGCTATTTTACAAGCTTAACAGGAACCACTAATTGTTCGTAAGGGGGCAAAAAGGCAGAAAGTGAGGTTTGAACTAGTGTCTGGCAAAATCAACTGGCAGTGGTTTATTGGGAAGAGAGAACTAGAAAGATCTTGAAAGTTATTTCAAGCACACCAGTTTTCTGACTCTCTGATAAGAATTGTATTTTCTTCTTCCCACCATTGAATGATTTAAGGTTGGTTTTTCTTTATGATCTGTGTACTAGATTTTACTTCGTGAGGGTTGCAAGAAGATACTGGTAGCTGATTCTTTGTCCTTGTTGAAGAAAATGCACCGAACTCAAATGAAAGGCGTTCTGGTGGATGGTAATTAAAACTCAAATTCTTTTATTCAAACTATATGTACTTCTCTGCTCTGTATAATCTAAAAATCCTTGTTTCCTTGCAGAGGAAAACATCTGTGAATCATGCCTTTCCCCTATTCTTCCATCAGGTAAGATAGTTAGGAGGAAAAAAATATTACTTAGGTATGTTTTAATGATATAATTAAAAATTGAAATTAACTGATTATTCTTGATAAAACTATAACATATTCAGAATTAGGCATTGAAAATACAATTTGTAAGTGCTAGCTTACTTCAGTGTTGGTTCCACTGTTCTTGCAAGCAGAAGTTCTCATGCCCCAGATTCTCTCATCCAGTAATTCTGGGGGTAGATCTGAGAACTGCCTTTCCTAACAGATTCCCAGGGATGGGTATGGTAGGATATTAAAGTACCTGAGTTTCACTGCTTCTAGAATAAAATAACATGAAATAAAAACTTGCTAGTTTTGTGTAATCTCCAAAATCTAAGTACCATGTGTGTAGTTAAAATTCAAACTCACTGCTGTTGAGACACAACTAAGCCATAGCTGACTCTCCAGAATGTTTTCAAAGGCCATGAACCAGCTGGAAGCCGATTGCCTCTCTTCTGCAGAGCAGCTGGTGAATTTGAACCATGTGCTTCTGGGCTAACCGAACAGCTCCTTCCAACAAGGTCACCAGAGCTTTCCCTTTTCATCAAACTTTTTCTTTTGTTATTTGGTTTTAAGCATGCAAGTTATCTCACATTCCAGTGCAAACATAATACTTGCTATTAAATTGGAATTCCTTAGAAAAGCTCTTTAAAAGACTCTTTAAAATACAAGCACATATTCTTACGTACTTCTAGTAGGAATGGTGACATAGGTAGACTGAAAGGCTTACCTCTGTCCAGTAGAGACATAGAGTTATTCTAAAAAAATTCTAGCCACAAACTATCTGAACACCCAGAGATGTGGGAGAACCTAATGTTAAAAAAAAATTATCAATGGATATGATAATAGGGCTGATGAGAATGTTGTAAGTACCACAGAACAACTGAACAGAGCCCCACTCCCACAGGGAAAGGAAAGGAATAGCTCCACCAGAACATCGTGGTATACCTTAGAAGATGAAACACTGTTTTCTCCCATTCACCTGAAAAAAACACTAAAGCAATCCACATAGGCAGGTGAGATGTGTGATGCTAGATAGAGAGAGTTACTCAGGGCTAGTGGAGGTAGGAGGGAAGCAAACTTTCCATCCTCATGGTGATTCATCTTAAGTTGGACAGGAAGACACCAGGAGCAAAGCAAAGACATCTTAAATTATCTGCACTTACGGAAAAGTCTAGTGCATGTGCGGAGAGTGGGAAATGGCATATGGGAAATCCCATAGCAAGAGAAATCTCTTTAGGGGGAAAAAAACCCCAAAACTCACAGATCGTGACAATAGCTACAAATACTGACTAACATAACAGGCTTAAAAAAGACTGACCACTCTTATCTACCAGACACATATTCTCGAGCTCTCTCCACACAGTGCTGACCCACCTCTGTAGCATCACTTGCTCAGGATGTATAATATGCTCAGCTGGACAGTCACATCATAAGGCATACCACTCCTTTAAAGTTTACAGCCACTCCCAACCTGGAGCAACATCTTCACATAGATAATGAATAAATAGCCACATAAACACACCAGAAACGGCTTCACATGCACCAAGGAGGCCACATATTATCACAGAAGCAGCAGACTGTCTCAAATACCACAAAAAAACCAAAACAAGTCTTCAGAAAAAAAGGAGAAATTATATAGGCCAAAATCTCTCACCAGCATATATGCAGAAATCCTTAACAAAATCCTAACCAATAGAATCCAACAGTATATAAAAAAAATAGTTCATTATGATAAAGTTGTTGTTGATAAAGTTGGATTCATAATAAGCATGCAAGTATGGTTCAACGTAAGAAAAACCATGTAATCCATCATAGAAATAAAGCAAAGGACAAGAACTACGTGATTATATCAATTTATACAGAAAAGTCCTTTGACAAAATTTAATGCCCCATCCTAATCAAAACTCTCAACAAAAAATTTTCACAATGTAATTAAAAGTATATACACAAAACCAAGAGCCAGTATCCTCAGTGGCTAGAGACTAAAAGCATTTCCCTTGTGTATAGGGCCCACACAATCAACACTCCAATTCAGTATTGTATTGGACATGCTAGATAGAGCAGTAAGGCAAGAGAAGGAAATAAGAGGCATCCACATTGGCAAAGAGGAGGTGCAACTATCCTATATGCAGATGACATGATAGCATACTTAGAAAACCATAAAGACTCAGCAAAAAACCCATTAGACTTAGTAGACTAAATTTTGTAGAGTGGCAGGATACAAGATCAACATACAAATATCATTTGGATTTCTCCACAGCAACAAAGAAACACTAACAGAAATAAAATCAATATGTTTTACAGTAGCCAACCACAGCATGAAATACTTGGGCGTAAACCTAACTAGAGACACAAAAGACCTGTTGTTGTTGTTGTTATGTGCCATCTAGTCGTTTGCGACTCATAATGACCCTGTGTACAACAGCCCTAAACCGTGCTCTATCCAGTGCCAATCTCATTGCCTCTGACAAACCCATCCGGAGTATCCCAGTCACTGAATCAATCCACCTCGTAGAGGGTCTTCCCCTCCTGCACTGTCCCTCCACTCTACCCAGCATGATGTCCCTCTCCAAAGACCTGTCTCTCCTTACAACATGTCCAAAATATTTCAGACGAAGCCCCAGAATCCTTGCCTCCAAGGAGCAGCCTGGTTTAATCCTCTCTACGATGAATCTGTTTGTTTTCTTGGCAGTCCATGGTACATTCAATACTCTTCTCCAGCACCACGGCTCAAAGGCACCAATTCTCCTTCTATCCTCCCTAGTCATTGTCCAACTCTGTGATGCATAACAAGTGATTGCAAAAACCATGGCCTGTATCAGGCAGACCTTAGTCTCCAGAGAGACACTGTTGCTCTTCAGTATTTTGGAGAGGTCCCTGACCGCAGACTTTCCCATCGCAATACGTTTTTTGATTTCCTGGCTACTGGTGCCAAGAGTGTTGACTGTGGAGCTGAGCAAATTGAAGCTGTGAACAATCTCAATCTCTTCACCATCCATCCTGATGCTACCGATTGGTCCAGTGGTGAGAATTTTTGTCTTAACATTGAGCCTCAGTCCATATTGAAGGCTGCAGTCCTTGACCCTCTGCAGTAAGTGCATGAGGTCCTCCTCAGTTTCAGTGAGCAAGGTTGTGTCATTTGCATAACGCAGATTGTTGACAGATTGTCCACCCATCCTAACGCCATGCCTCTCCTCATAGAGCCCCGCCTCTCAGGTAATCTGCTCTGCATACAGGTTGAAAAGGTATGGAGACCGGACACATCCCTTCCCAATTTTGAACCATGCAGTGTTGCCCTGCTCTGTTCTGACGACTGCACCTAAATAAGGAAAACTACACAACACTACTACAATAAACAACGAGACTTAGTTAAATGAAGAATACTCCCTGTTTATGGATAAGAACATCCATTGTGAAAATGATAATCCTACGAATAGCAGTCTACAGGTTCGATGCAATCTCAAAGCAGATACCAGTGTCATTCTTCAGGGAAATATAAAATGCAATTTCCAGGGTTTTTTTGAAGGGGAAAAGACCTCAATTAAGCAAAGCTATTCTGAAAAATGAAGCAGGAGGCATCACACTCCCTGGTTTCAACACCTACCTACTACACGGCCTGATAGGAGAACAAACAGGTTCGTTCTGGAGAGAGTGAAATCAGGCTGCTCCTTGGAGGCAAGGATTATGAAGCTCTATCTGATATAGTTTAGGTATGTTGCTAGGAAGGACCCATCCTTGGAGAGGGACATCATGCTTGGGAGGGTGGAGTAACTGTGCAAGAGAGGAAGACCCACAATGAGATGAATTGACTCAGTGACTGGAGTAATGGTGGTAGGTGTATTAGATACAGTAAGATTGGCTCAGGATAGAGCAGGGTTCAGAGCTGTTATGCATAGGGTCACTATGAGTTGCAAGCAACTTGACAGCACATACCAACAACACTACACAGCAGTAGTAATCAAAATAGCCTGGTATTGGTACAATGACAGGTACATAGACCAATGGAAAAGAATCGAGAAATCAGAAATCATCCTATCAGTGGACTATTGCTATTCAACAAGAAAACAAAACTCATTAAATGGTGAATGACATCTTTAAAAAGTGGTGCTGGCAAAACGTGAACATCAACCTGCAAAAAAGAAAAAAAAGAACCAAAACAAATAAAATCCACATCTCACACTATGCAAGAAAAGCTACTCCAAGTTGATCAGAAACCTAGATATAAAACCAAAACTCATAAAGATCATCAAGGGAAATAGGAACAAATCTACAAACCCTGGTAAATGGCATGAGTAGACTTGCAACTATAACCAAAATGCACAACTAGAAGAGGACAAAACCAACAAATAGGACCTCGTAAAATAAAATGCACAAATCCTTATGTGCCATCCAAAACTTTTCCACAGATTGAAAGCAAGCCCACAAACAGGGAGGAATATACAACAATGACATTTCTGACAAAGGACTCATAAATGTATAGAATAAATTACTACAGTGCCTCCACAAGAAAAAGACTAATCATCCAGTTACAAAATGGCCAGAAGACATGAAAAGACTTCACCAAGGAGGATATTTGGATGACCAGAAACACATAAGGCAAAGCTCAAAATCAGCAATTATAGATAAGCAAATCAAAAGAGAAATTTAGTATGCCCCAGCTATTCCAATACTGGGAATATACCCCAACGAAGTCAAAGCTGGGACATGAGCAGATATATATACACCTGTGTTTATTTCAGCATTAGTCACACTAGCAAAAGATAGAAATAGCCCAAACACCCATCATCAAACGAATAGATAAATTGTGGTACATTCAAGCAATGGAATATTATGCAACATTTAAAAACAATGAAGAACTCAGAAAATGCTACAGCATGGGTGACTCTAGAGGACATTATGCTGGGTGCAAGAACCCAGTAACAAAAAGACAAATGCTATATAAGGCGGCTGCTGCTGTGAAAAGGGGAGGGTGATTACCGAGGGTGGGGAGGGGTAGAGCACAGACAGACTGCACCAAATGTGAACACTAGCTATATAGGCTCAGGGGGAGAGAAGTCTGGGAAGAATAAATGAAGGGACAATATGGCTACTGCTGTTAGCAACTTGAAACAGAATATGTGTGCACGTGAAAGAATAGGCCAAGTCCAGTGAGGATTTGATGAGACATAGTAATAAAAGGTTTTGATCCACTGTACTTTAACATTATAAAACATTGTATATTAAAAATTAACATTCTAAAACATTGTATATGAAAGATTAAGTAAAACTTTTTTAACCACAGGCTTGCACAGTTCTGTGGGTGGAGAGGGGGGTGAAGGAAATGAGAAGGGTCTGGCAAGTACCTAAAAAGATTTAAGTAATGATGGGCAAGGTCCAATGGTGATTGATTTTATAAAACATAATGCATTGGAATGATTGTATGCAGCACAATATGAATGAAGAATAATGTGAAACAATATGTATATAATCTTTGTGAGCAGTCCAATAAAAAAAGCAGGGTTTTTTTAAAAGATAAGGCATGAGAAGAGGAAGATCACAACATTTTAACTTGGAAATTCATAAAATTTAATTGTTATGATGCCACGACTATTTTTTAATATAAATGCAGTACTGGAAGACTGACTATAGAGCCCATCATGAAGTTAAAGTGGAGCAATTATTTCTTAGAGCCATGGGATAAGAAATTTCAAGGACATTATTTTCTAGAATAAAGTTAAGTTTAGTATGCATTTTGAGTACGCATGTTAGGAACTAAGACTCAGGGGAGAAAGTGAGCTTTTATAGTCTTCCAGTTAGTGTTTTAGCAAGAAGAGACTACAAACACTTCTAGTGGAAAGAACCTGCACTGTAATCCAAAAGGCACATGGTTCGAGTTCACCAGCTACTCCATGCGAGAAAAAATGGGCAGTCTCCTCCTTTGCAGTTAATTTCCTCTGAAAAACCTCCTTGGAGGGCCAGTTATGGGTTGAGCCCAACTTGATATTACACAACAATTAGAAAGGAGCTCTGGTTTTGCAAATGATTAAGCTCTTGGCCACTGTCAGATTTGTGGTTCATGCCCACCCATGGGAGAAAAATCTAGCAGTCTGTTTTCCTGAAGATTACCACATAGGAAACACTCCTCTGTCACACAGGTATTGTGAGTTGAAATCACCAGTGCTCAGCATTACCTTCTGAGACTGTAGATCTTTGCAGGAGTGAACTGGCTCATCTTTCTCCCACATAATGGCTGCTGGTTCTGAACTGCTGACCTTTCAGTTATTAGCATTTAAACACTGCACCACTGAGGTTTCCTTACCTGAGAATACTAGATCGAAAACAAGGCTGGTCACACAAATCACAAGGAGATGAAGTGATGCACCCAAACAGAGGTGCAGAAAAATGCAAGGAAGCAGCCAGAGCAAAGCACAGCTGGGGCTTGAGCCCAACTCATTGAATTTTCTTAACATGGCAGTAGATTAAAAAAAAAACAAACCAGAAAACATTTTCTGAGGTCAAAGAGTTGGCTTCAGCATCAGTGTGGCGGAGAATGTGTGATTGTGCCTCTGTGTGCGTGCATCCGTGTGTATATGCACTCACCTGCATTCGTGTGTATGTGCACAGAATGTACACAGTGGTTCTAATTGTTAAGAAAGTTTATTGCACTTGCTATTGCTGCCTTTTATAGTTCTGGTAGTTTAGACAACGTTTAAGCAAGTCACATGTGACCACACAGCACCTTCAGGAATGCTCCATCTAACACTTGCTACGGCAGCTATATTGGAAAACTGCATACAGTACACCTTTCCAAGGAGGTCAGTGACAAAGCTCCTCGTTTGCTTTTACATTGTGTTTTTCCCCCAACTTCCTCCTGCCCTGCTCCAGATGCAGCCAAGCCCTTCAGCATGGTGGTCTTCCACTGCCGGCACATGTTCCACAAGGAGTGCTTGCCAGTGCCCAGCATGGTGAGTGCACAGCAACTCTGCAGTGCGCTAGAAGTGAGAGACTTTTCTGTTTTTGTAAAGAATAATTTTGTATAACTTTGTCAGCTCTAATTTTTGTATCATACAACTGTCCTTTAGTGGCAAGACCTATCACTCAAATCACATTAGATTTATTTTGCTGTGGATATTCTATATGTCACAGAATGATCACCGGATTTAACCCTCTGTGAACCAAAACCTCCAGAAAAAGGAATGACATTTCATAGTCCCCTCTCTCCATGACTGATAGCTCTTAGCTGACCTTTGAGTGGATTTTCAGAAACTGTAAATTGTGTGAGAGGAGATTGCCCATCTTTCTCCCAAATAGCAGCTACTAGATTTGAACCACCTAACTTTGGTTGACAATACTAATATTCCCATATTTCTGAATATTGAAGAGAAGGTTGTATTTTATTTATTTGTTTTAATCAAAGATTTTTTTTTTTGTTACCTTTTTTAGACTTCTCCAGCACAGTTTTGCAACATCTGCAGTGCTAAGAACCGGGGACCAGGAAGTGCAATTTTGGAGATGAAAAAATAGCTTTTTTTCTGCTTGTCCATCTCTTCCTCACCTCTTTTTAAGGCTGGTTTTGTAACAACCTAAGCATTTATTGATACCAGTGCTGCTAAGAGCTTTTGTACATATTTATGTTATGTTGTAATGAAAATAAAAATCAGTTTCTCTTCTGTCAACTAGAGGTTTCTCTTTGCGGTGGATACGAAAGTCAGGGTTCCCCTATACCTGAAGCTTTTGGAGCTTACAGTCAGTATTTCATCATTTACTGATTTGGTTTATTCTCTATCTGTTATGGAACTGTAAGTCTAGGAGTTAGAAATGCATTTTGGGGATCCTAATAAAGCCTTTCTGCCATGGAGAAGACTGGAGACCCCCTCACCTGTCTGCAGATGTCACCATTCTCTATCACCAATTTCCCCTGTATTCTTTGCTGACAGTCCTCACATCTTGGGCTTGGCTTCATTTTTTTTCCTTAAATGCATCATCCATCGCCATTTCATTTATTGAAACACTATGTAAACTGTCACACAATAAAAATGTTTATTTAACTGTGTGTGTCCAGTAACTTTACCAAGTACATGTTCTGTGTGTCCCAGATGATGAACATAGTGTCTGGCCCAGGCAGGTATTTAGTGTTTGTTGATTGAATAAACATTAACTGTTCTCCTAGTGAATTACTTTTAGTTGTTGTTGTTGTTATGTGCCATTGAGTCGCTTGTGACTCATAGCGACCCTATGTACAAGAGCTCTAAATGCTGTTTACTGAGTTAAATAACTGTATCAGGATTTCTGGTGCCTTCATAAAATAAAAAGGACTTTTAGGGTCTTAGAGCCTGAGGAAGTTTGTTGTTTTTAATTGTTGTTTGGAATCAGCAAGTCAACTCTGACTCACAGTGGCCCTACAAACAACGGATCTGAACCCTGTCCTATCCTGTGCCATCCTCACCGTCTCTGATATGCTCAAGTCCATTGTTAACAGTCACTGAGTGAATCCATCTTGTTGGGGGTCTTCCTCTCTTTCTCTGATGCTTCACCTTTCCAAGAGTAATGTCTTTTTCCAAGGACTGTCTCCTCCTGAAAACATGCCCAAAGTGTGTGAGGTGAAATTTCACCATCCTTGCCTTGAAGGAACAACCTGGTTGAACTTCAGGAATGGATTTGTTTGTTCTTTTGACAATCCTTAGGATATTCGTTACTCTGCCAACACTGTGCTTCCAAGACATGCCTACTTTATTATTTGTCCAACTGTCACTTTCATATAAAACAATTGAAAATTTCATGGGTCAGGCACAACTTAGCCTTTAAAGTTTAGTTTGTGATGGGTGGAAAGAAATGGGTGATGGTAAAATCTGAGAGGGATTCGCCAGAGAAGTGAGACTGCCTAATGCCAAAGGATGGGCTAGCAGTGTCTCCTTCCGTTTCAATGGTGCTTCCTTTACGCCTGCAGAACATAGAGCAGATAATGGGAGAGAATTCAAGCTTGGGATGATGTCCTGTGACTGTATTGTCATGCTGGAAATATGTGTAAGCAGGGAATGGGCACCTCGTTGATACAGTACTTGCCTTCCAGATGGGAGAGATCAGTTTGATTCCCAGCCAGTTGGCCTCAAGCACACCTACTACCTGTCAAAGGAGACTTGCATGTTGCTTCAGTGCTAAGTAGGTTTTAGTGGCACTTCTAGACTGAGAGGGACTAGGAAGAAAGACCTGGTGATCCTCCAAAAATTAGCCAATGAAGATCCTATGAGCCTGGTGCAGAACTTAGCAGCATTTTCTTTTCTTGTGCATAGCTTCACCATATGTAAAAGACATCACTGGCAACTAGTAAGAAAATGCATTTTTAAAGGGTGCAAATACATACATACATACTGTTTATTATTATTAGGCCCATCCTCTCAGCAAAAATAAACCATTACCGTCA